CTAGCCAGGCGGCGCCTGGCTAGTGATCAGATTCCGCCGCCTGGCAGGCGCAAGAACATGCATTGCTTAGCTTATGGACCAGTAAAGCATTGGAGTTGAGACGTATAGTTTTATCATAGAATCTTATATTTTTGATTACAACCAGGCGATACCAGAAAGAACACGGGGACGAATCTCTCAATAAGGCGTACCAAAAGCAACATGTACACTTTGTCAGGCATATATGCTAAAACTACTTACCTGAATCCCTCCATGGAACGATTGCAAGTTTGTCTTGACAAGATCATGTTCATCGCCGACCAATAATATCCCAATGTGACATTGGCAACGTCTGCTACACAATTCACTTTGCTTATCTAACAACACGGCACGGAATTTTCCATTGAGTATTGAAAATGAGTTATTTGTCACTGCGTGAATGCGTGACTGCGTGATTGATCGGTGAGTGATCGTAAGATGATAAAGTGTAGAACGCCACGCATACGTAGCGACATTGGCAACGTCTGCTACACAATTCACTTTGCTTATCTAACAACACGGCACGGAATTTTCCATTGAGTATTGAAAATGAGTTATTTGTCACTGCGTGAATGCGTGACTGCGTGATTGATCGGTGAGTGATCGTAAGATGATAAAGTGTAGAACGCCACGCATACGTAGCAACAGAATATGCCACGGCAGACATGGTTAATAACATCGATATGATCCATACCATTTGTTGCTGCGTATATCATCCATGTTATACGATATGACTCATATCCGTGTCCATTATATATAATATGCGTATACGAAACCATAACCACGGTCTGAGAACACGGCAGGTCCTTGTGGTAGAGCTGAGGATGTTGGTCCCTACCAAGGACTTTTTCAAACCCGAGCTTTTCGTACAGCTTGATAGCTTCTTTTTTCTTCGCTTCTACATGGAGGTACACGGCGACAACCTTGGGCTTCTCTCTAACCTAAAAGTAATAATACTAACAGCTCAGAACTTTCAGCCCGTATTCATCGACTTGCCCCTGCCAGAAAGTGCGTCATGAGCTTCTCACCGATGCCTTCACGACGTCGGCCTTCTGTAACGGTAAACTGGCATGAGAGCACTCAGGGACGACAAGCTGGCACACTGAAGTAACGATTGACAAGGCTATGGTACATTCATGCTGAATCGAGGGAATTCCTTGAAAAAACTAATTCCTCAGTGATAGCTTGCACGCTGACAGTATGTCATCGCTCGTGATGGCAGAAGTCCAAGACTGCTTGGAGTCCATGGGCGTCCTCTATCAGACGGCGGTCAGCAGAGGCATTTTTGATTCGAAAACCATTGTCAGTTAACCAAGGCTGCCTTGGCATCATTGATCCGCAATAGAAGCAGACGGAAGTTCCAATGGAAATAATATAAAACCGATCAGATGTGCCCATAACGATACGTACCCAGACGACGTAGGCCAGGTCGCCTTCTTTTCTTGGGTGCCTGATGCAACAGAGCTACTACAGGGCGTGATCCCCAGACAGACAATTCCGCAATACTATAAGACGTAACAGCATTGACTTGAGAATCCTACATATGGTCCATAATCGCTTTCAACTCATCGGCTGGGGGTACAGATGGAATGTCGATCACAATGACCCCAATGACAACCTAAGAAGCTTCCTGGAGTGTGCTAAGGACTCCATACTGAGAAGTTCTACTGCAAGATGAATCGAAACGTTTGATTCAAAAGAAGCGCATTGCAGAAATAGAGTTGTTACTCTGGCGGAGGCTCACCTTGCTGGTAGGAGCATCTACTGCTACTAAGCATTCGAATACTTCACAATAGCTCTTTAAGTCTTCAGAATCCATGTTGTCACCAGGCTGGTAATCTCTAATGGTCACCCCGCCAGCAGCAAGAACACCAAGAAGCAGAATGAAGCAGCGAAAGAAGGGCATATTAATACCAATCGCGTTATACGATACGCTTAGAAGGCGCATTGCGGGACGTCTTATAAATTACACATAGCAATTCGCAATATGATTCCGTTCCTGTTGCCGTTGCCATCCCAGCGTGCCAAGGGCATGCGTCACGCATCATGCGTGACTCGCGCACGATGCGTGACTCGCGCATGATGCGTGAACAGTGTTCACTGAACACTGTTCATGGCTGTTCAGAACAGCCGAAGCCTCCCCCTGAGAGTAGGTTCAAACTGAGTCTCTATTCGTCCCTTCTCGCCTCGTGTTCATCATCGTGATAGAAGAACAAGCAACGTATAATGCCCAGTCTCAAAGCGATCTTACTAGCTGAGGTACAAGCTCCAATAAATGGAGCCCCGAAGAGTGGTGGTGGAGTCCACTAACACTCTTCGGCGTCTAATTGACTGTCTACACTTATCAGATGCCGACGCTCTTGCCTACATCTCTAATGATGCTTTACTCGCTTAAGACTCGTCCTTTCATACCGAAAGAGGTCTGTCCATCAGTTGAACAGTTGGTCGGGAGTGTGGGAGAGGACCAAACACTGTGAACCCAAGACCCGAACCTTCCCAGGATCCTTGGGCCCTGGATTCGCAGATCATGTTTGGTCACACTTACAATACCTCTTCAACCTCAATAGAAGAGCACCTGTCACTCCAGGTCGTGTCGGATACGGCCTCCATATCTCTGTTTTCGTGGAACTTCGCCACATGGTCGCGGCTCCGCTTCATCTGAATTTCGTTGAAGTCTTTCGTCTTTAACGCTGTGTGTCACTGGTGTCGCGGGTTGTGCGCTTGTGCGGCACAATTTCTTACACGGTCTGTTTTCGGTGATTCACCTGTTTCGCTAACTTCAAATCCCGGTCGTGCGTAGTCTAGCCCGAGCTTCCCCTCTATGCCGACCGTTTACCAAATAAACTTTAGTTGGCGACTGCTGCCTGTGAGTGGCTCTGCCAATTTCAGGGTGTCTGAGAAACTTTCCACAGAAACTTTCGCGGAAAATTTCCGCGGAAGTTTCCAAATTTTTCCGCGAGTAAAACTTTCTAGGAAACTTTTGCTGAGTATGCATTTTCGATGTTAGAGACCTTTTATTCGTCTCGTACAGCCTCACGATGGTTAGAATGAAAGAGTAGCTTAGCTACTCTTACCTAGCTGCTAGGGTCAATTAGGTCCTAATTCGTGCTAGGTCCTAGCATGCCTCGAATAAAGGAAATACCTCGCTTCATGTTAAAATCTCAAGTACTGGGCGGAGAATCTCGATTCAGCCAGATCTCTTAGAAAATAATTATTCTACACTAGATCCTTCAGTATGACTGCTATAGGTGGGCGGTTTATCGCGGACCCTGGCCAGGCGAGACAGTCAGGGGCTCTGATCCAACATGTAATGACAATGACATTGCCATTGTCAGCTGATGATTGGCTCGAAATGAGCCGCTCAATGTATGTATATTCTACACTGAGCCATCCCAACTTCTAGTAGAAGTTGGGTAGAGGTCTTCTACGATGTAGAATCTTTCTAATGAAAGTTTGAATGGAAGCTCCCACTTCAAGGCCTTTCCAGAGGAAGTCTACTGATTTCAAACGGAGTAGTCCTCCAAATCTACGTCGAATGCAATATGATGCCCACGGAGGCTTGCAAGAATGAAATTCATTCAATGAATTGTGTCGACGCGTTTGCTCGTAATTACACGAATATCCCTTCCCCGCCAGTTGTGAAACTTTCCGAAAAATTCCTGGAAAGTTTCCTCTGAAACTTTCCGCCGTTTTGGAACCCCTTTTCGACACCCTGGCCAATTTGCGATCTTCACGACTTGCTCACGACGGGTGTTACCCGTCGGGTAACCGTACTCTAACTCTTACGGGGCCGATGCGCTATACCGATCCGCTGTACCGTAACTTTCACGTAGACGATGTTGCTGTACCACATCGTCGATGTGACATCGATCACCTTTCTGCAGCCGTTCTGTACTACATCCCGACGTGCAAAGTTAACAGTCACTACAGCGAGCTTGTTTGCAGTCACGTGTCATGAAGAACAGCAACCTCTACGGGAGGCGTGTCGAACGTCTCGACTCTAGCCGGAAGGATCGACCTGCGAAGCAGAGCCTTCCGTGAAATCAACGAAAAGGAACCACTGCCCCAATCGTACCGCAAACTAACGCTGCAACACCTTTCGCAGCGACGACAGAAAGCTAACAACGCGGGCGTTCGCTGCTGAAACTACCGCTAAGATGTATCAGAAATCAAGCCAGATGAAAAGTTGTGAGTGTGGACCCCGGGAAGCTCCCGTTTTTTGAACGAGGATGATTTGGTGGGAATATTTCGTTTTTATCATCCGGAGGAAACTGTATCCGCAAAACCGCAGCGGTTTAACCGCTAAAGCTCGAGATTGCTCTTCTGAGAGACGTCTTTGATCGCGGTGTGGAGGACATGCCTGGAGACTTGTTGAGCTTCTACCTCTTCCTAAAACCCCAGGAGCGTGTTCTCGGCAATATGGTGGAACTGCTCAAAATTGCATTGTCGCTCCCGATCGCATCGGCGACCAGTGAGCGTAGCTTTTCGACAGTGCGAAGAATAATGAGCTACTTACGCAACTCCACTGGTGACCAGCGGCTTTCGGAATGGCTTCCCTGTTGGTGGATTTTCTCCTCTCCTATTGATTGAGCTTAGCAGCAACAGCTGGATTCCAATACAGATGAATCTCGTATTCACGGGGGAGCGTACTAGGTAATAATACACTTTTCAGTCAGCAGCATTCCGTTTTGGTGCACCGTGTCGCAGAGTCGTACTATCGAGTGGTGAACGCTCCCAGCCAGGGACCCAGGAAAATAGGTCGAGATGTTGAACCAATAGTAACTCACCACAGTTATCTCGGGAATACACAACGTATAAAAATGTGGAAATATGAGGAAAATTCTCGGTTAACGACCGCCCCGGTCAGATAGTAGCATCTTTGACTCGATAAATAAGGCCAAGCTATGCCTCTCGCGTAATTGTACATCGGTACTAGTCTAGCCGACCGCACTGCTGGCGTCGGACTTGTGGCACACATAGCATACAATTCGCCCGATGGAGTTTGGATGATGGAAACTCCACAAATTCCAGGATCGGTTAACCAACTCAACGAATCTGTCCTTACGTGCATGCACATTTTGCTTCGAACGATATATCCTCTGAAGCAGTGCCGCAGGCTGCTACAATTCTATTGACAACGCAACGGTTATACCGTTGGAAGCTGATAAGTCCTTAGAATCAACACTCTGCCGCATTACTGCATCGCGCAAGCTAACAGGCAGCCGAGTTCTTCATTGAACCCCCTGGAAGTTTCTTATTTCCGGGACCCTTGCTATGACGTCGACCAAGTTCTTCTCCCTTTGAATAGTGATATGCCTAACTGCGCAGTGTCGTTGCGTCGAGCTATGACTCAACTCGAAAAACTCAGTGTCGGAGAAACTTGCCGTCGCGCTACGATCAATGTTCATCTTTTCTAAGCGGTCTTGCTGGATACCATCTTCCCCTTCACAATCTCACCGTAACCAATAAGACGCCAGTGCTTATCAATACGTCGACTCAAAGCCAGTTTGTCACCGATATTGGCGCACACCTGAATTCACCCTAACTAGACAAATCGGAGGTTGTATACTTACAGGAACAGCGAGTTGAACCTTGGCGACAGATCCTTCAGTCTTAGTGCCCACAATTTGTCCACCAGCTGCAGTACCTGGAGACACTTCATAACATGCCACATGAGGAACTGTATTGAAGACCCACTTCCGATGTTGACCATGAGGATCTCCTTGTTCTTCAGCTTAGTGATAGAGGGACCCTTATAGCCTGTAGAAACAGTGAGAGGTCACGAACCTCAGGTAGACACCTACCTTCACCATGCTTTGAAGCATCACTATCTTGCTTCACCCCAAGTAGACGACGAAGAAGATGATACTTGATCTAAAGCCACCGAATGCCATTAGCAGCCAGCAAAAACAGACAACCTACCTCGATCTGGTCATATACGTCAGGCAGATGGCCTGGATATCCAAGAACGTGTCCGACCAACCGATCAGCTCGAGTGAGCGTGGGGTCCATTTGTGTACCCACGCCGATGAGACTGAATCGAGATGAATGAGACTCAGCTAGTTAGAATATGCTTTCACTACCCTCCAGGGACCGCGTACTGTAACTCGTTATTCTCAGCATGGAGACTCTTGACCTTAGTTTTGATGGCACGGCATGTTACGTGGCCTTGATCATCCTTACTGATAACACCGGGTCGAATCTCGATCTCGTCACCAACCTGACTTGAGCAATGATGCTTTCAAGTTAGATATGGAGAATTACCTTGAGAACACCGTTGAGGATGCTACCACCGGCAACACCACCCATCAGCTCTTCAGCGTCTTGCCCTGAACTCGAGCACACTGTTGAACTTGCATGAGAAGAATGTATTAGTCTCACCAGGCTTATTAACATCGAATGACCGAATGATGATCATTTGGGGGGACGAAGTGAAATCACGAACGGGAATAGGAATCTAGAATCGCAATCAAGATGCTCTGACGACGCAGAGTGACCAGTCGCGTACTTGAGTGCAAAGATACTCGGCTACGACATCCAAGTTATATCGAAGCACGGCCGAGATGGGCACAACCGGCGCGGAGTCGGCCACAGTACCCTTGACGAAGTTTCTGATGACAGTGGATTCTAGAAGGCCAGTCTGATGTGATCATACCGAATATCGGCATACTGCTGCTGGGCCTCAGCCTCAGTAACCAGTTCCACCTTGTTCTGGAGTATGATCAAATGTCGGAGTCGCATTATCTCGACGGCGGCCAGATGTTCGGAAGTCTGTGGAAGTAGCTTTTCAGGTAGCAGAGCGAGATGCCTAGTATCACCTGTGGTTGAGGGCACTTCTCGTTGGCAGCAATGAGCAGCATGGCAGCGTCCATTACTGCAGCACCATTAAGCATAGTAGCCATGAGAATATCATGACCAGGACAATCCACGAAGGATACGTGACGGACGACAACCCATTCGCCGTGCTCATCAGTGTAGCGATCAGGATAGGCAGATCCGTGGGAAGTGTAACTACCTGTAATGACAGTCTACAGTTGCAAGGGCGCAATTGCTCTACTAGGATTAGGACAGTCGGGATTCTGGCACTTGTAAATTTTAGCGTTAGCGTATCCCAGCTTGATAGTAATATTGCGCTCCTTCTCTTGTTTGAATCTAATAGTCATAACCTACAATGTGATCAGTGAGCGTAACAGCTGATAGGGACGATGCCCTACCCCCGATAGACCTCGAACGACAGTCGACTTGCCGTGGGCGACATGGCCAATGGTACCTACAGCCGTAGTAAGAGTAGTAAACTCAGAAGGTCCGACCATGCTTACCAACGTTGATGGTCGCTTGTCGCGAGATAACCTCGGGAGATAGAGGCGTGAGCTTGCTGACATCCAAGTTGGTCAAATCCTGTACTGCAAGACCGTCAGCAGTGGGCGCGGCGGTAGGCATGATGGTGGCAAGAAAGGGAAGAAGGGCTGGGGAGAGACTCAGCGCACGAGGTTGAATCAAAAAACATCCCAGCATGGGAGCGAGAAACGTAGTACAAGATGTCGTTATGGAAATGGTAAAGTCGCCAGAGTGTAAAGGTTATATCTACAGACGCTCTTGAACACGTTTGCTGACAGTACGCAGCCTTTGGTATCTAACAGTAGTATGAACTGTGAGAAGGTCGGAGAGCACTGAGAGGTAAATTACACTTTACTAGGTGGGCTCCCTAGGATCAGACTGCAAATAGCATCCCTTGCCAGACGGATGTTCGTGAAAGAACCAAGCAGGTGAATCTTGTCTTCGGCAAGCACCTGTCAAGCAAGTGCATTAAATGCTACACGGGAACACTACGGACCAGTGTTGGAATGTATGTCCGCTTTCCTCAGCCGAGCTCAGGAGTTTCCACACTAATTATAAGAGTTTTTACCCGAATTAGGGCGGAATGATAGAAAACCAATAATATTTTTCAAAAAAATCCTCATAATTTTCATATTGTCACCGACACATGTAGTTGTGTATATTTGCCCACACTGCTGCTGACTTACAATTCGCGTCCGAGTGGAGTTCTCAATGGCGTACTTGGTCTTACCATCCTTACCAGCAATGCCTAACCAATGACTTTCGACGCTAGGCGCCTTCCAGTAGCGGTACTACGTCCAATGCATCGAGATAGATGATCACCAGTGAGCCGCTTGACATCCTTAACTTCAAATGACTCAAGGAAAAGATCATCCAATCTTGCAAACGACAATCCATCCCCCTTCGCAGTGATCCTTCGGAGGCCTACCTCAGCAAGGCGATGGCGTCTTGAATGTCAAAGCCGAGCATAAAGGCTTTTATGAAATCAGCGCCCTTCTGAAGAGAGTTAACCTCAGCACCAGGACCACCTGTATAGAAACTTGAGTACTAGGAGCCGGCCGCCACCACTGTACTACGTCTCATCTCGACACAACGTCGTTTGGTGTTCATCCTGACCTGAAGTTTCATATGCTGGACTAGAGGCTCCAATAGCTTCAACCAGCTATTACGAAGCGGGGTCATTCGGTGAGGAGGAACCTTCAGGATTACATAGTTCCAGCGTTTTACTGGAGTTTGTGTGAGAGGCGTCTCCGAGAGTCCTCGAGCCTACCGCAATCCTTCGAACCTCTCGCATTCCCCGCTCCTCTTCCTCAGCAGTCACGGGCTTAAACGATGGTTTAGAGTATCCCTCCTGAACTATAAGGCTCCCTGCTGCCACATCGAGGTCTCCTATGCACTGACCTATCGCCTTAGTACCTTCGAGTCAGTCTCCATAGGCTCGTAGTCGATTTCAGCCGCGGCCATCTCTACGGGGTCAAGCACGATATCCATGTCCTTGTCCTCAGGACCTGCTCAGACCATATTTGTCGGTTTTTCTATCAATTTCTGTGCCACACACTAACCGATAGCTCAAACGATGTGGCCCTGTAGTACCAGTGAGAGGAACGGGATCATCCCTTCTAGTCCGAGTCCCGCGGACTTTCCGGACCGGTCCGGATGATGGTTGGGCTGCCTTCTTGGCAATGTCGCTCCAGGATGCAGTGGCAGAAGACATACCGGAGAGTATGCTCAAGGATTGGGTGAAAGATCAGAGAAGAGTCGACGATTATGTGGTTGCGTGAGATTCTCCGGTTTTGGTCCCTCTCGCCCGCCCATAATCGTCCTAGACTTGTGGGTGCCGTACGCTTCGAACTAAAGCAAGGTTTGTGTAATGTCCAAGGCCCACTTCATTGAAGTGGTCTCAGGCCAGCGGCCAAGGGTTCAGTTCAGACTATGCGAAGATTCGCAATCGCCGAATAGTTTACGATCGACTAAGGACGTCGGGGTTTAGGTGTACTGGCTACGCTAGCATTTAATTAATAGTGTCTTAACATGTGGACGAGGGGAATTATACTGGATCTTAAAGGAGACTGTGTGCCATTGTAAGAGGCTCAATAAGACTCCCCCGTGTGACTAGGAGTATCTTATCCACTCTCCGCAGTTACCCAGTATCAGGACAGTTACCGGCATGTGTACTCATCCACCCGGAGGGTGGACAGTTATCCACTTATCCACTCTTATCAGGAATCCCTTGCAGTATGCCAGACCAAACGTAGATGCTTCGAGTGGATAGGCTGTGCTTCTGACAGTGCCGTCAATTCATTTTGATTTTCGCTTTGATTCTAGCTACTTGGCAATCGAGGTGCTCATTAAATGATTCGCGTGGGAACAGAAATAATAAAGTTCATGTTGCAGGATTGCTGATGATGGGTGGTAGCATACCAGGTCTTCTACGTTCATCTGGGGAGGGATTTCGCGATAGCTCGCCAACGTATCATCGAAGATATCATTGGACTCATGCCCTACCGGAGTCCGAACGCAATTATGTCAAATTCTCCAAAATCACGTTAACGAAATAGAAGATTATAGAATATTCGTAGCGGGTGGATCCCCCGCCATTTGGGTGATGATCTGAAGTAAGTACTAATGGCATCGATCGCAGACACAATAAGCCGTAACATGTTCGTCGACCCCAACAAACCCCAAGACCAGACCAAGGCCGTGTTCTGTGATCTGAGCCCACGGCAGGATCCGTGCTGATCGCTGTTCCTTATGTCCCCTTGCCCATTCTCTTCGTTAATGACTGTCCGAGATTGTATTCACATGTACGGTGACTTGAAGCTTACAGAACAGACAGCCCCACTCAGTGAGGCTCATTGTTCTACAAGCATACTCAGGAAGTTTTCATATATCAACCAAAGTCGTTCAGTATGCCAAGGAGAAGAAACTAATCGCGTCGGTGTGATGTCCGCCCTGGGCTCCGCTGCCTCGTTTCACGATCACTCCGACTTCTATGTTCCCTATTCCAGCTCGAGCTGCGTCTCCTTCGGTCTCTACTCCTGCTTGTGGACCTCCTCCGACGCCTCTCACGACTGCGGCTCCGACTATACCGTCGACTACGGCTTCTGTCATTGAAGCTAAGCTCTCGACGACGCGAGGAGTGGTCCCCTCCTCCTCTTCGCTCATCTCGAGGCCTCGACTGTCTCTCCTCTGCTACTTTCAGTCTGATCTAAAGCAACGCAGCTTTGGAAGCATGATGCGCTGGAACGAGCTACCTTTCGTGAATCTAGGGTGGCTCCATCAAGCAAAGCTATGGCATTCCTCATGTCTGACTCCCTAGAGAATTCCACGAAGGCGAATCCTCGACTTGCCACTTTATCTTCACCTGACGATAACCAAATTAGCAGCACTCAAACCAAAAGGACGTTACCTCCAGGCAGCCGCACTCCGGAAACTCGCAAATCTTCTTGCTGGAAGAATTTCTCAATATCCTCCTTGGTCGAAGAGTAAGAGAGATTCCCCATGTACACCGTACCTGAGCATAACTGACTTGAACATTCACCTTGACTATGGACTCACTCGACTTCGACCGCTCTTCCTCGACCTCCTTCAACGGGTTATCGATCTTCCCTCCCATATCCTTGATTTCCTTGTCCAACTTGTACTCCATTTTCTTCAGCTCAGCCAAGGCCGCCCTACACGAACCAGAATACCTCCGAACGTTGTTCCCAACAGACATCGTGCTTCGAGAAGCCAACTGTTGAGGTATGTGGCTACGTACCCATGATCCACTTTGACTTCATAGTGTCTAGTGCTGGCTCCGAGACGTAGCTGATCTCGTTCGCCCAGTACTCGAGGGACAAAGGCTTCGATCTTCACATCGCCCTTCTCGCCGACAAATGTGCCGAACTTCGAATGAAGATCAATGGCATAGACCTGGAAGGCGGCGAAGTGGCATCGCCAGAGGAGCATATTGCCATATCACTTGGTCGAGAGCGTTCTCTCTCCACTTCGAGTCTGTGGGATTCTTAAACCCTGCTGCGTAGACAAGCATGGCGTGATGCCTAGATGTTGATGGATGCAAAGCAATAACCTACTTCAAAGACAATGGAGAACCGGAACGATCGCGCAGTGCTCCTCACATCGCAAGTTTCCACCTTTCCTAAAGTACACACAGCGTTGCCGACATTGTGTGTAGCAACAGAACGGCCTTCTTTCACCTCGGTCAGTCGAATTGGTGACGCTGTGTCTGAAGAATGAAGCTCACGTTCAGTCTAGATTGCCAACTACAGTAACCTTGCTTGACCACGTTCATAACAGCGTGGAGCCATAGCAAGCGTGCTGTGTCCGGCGAGTCTTGTATGTCTGTCCGGATAGTAGAAAGCATGCGGCCGAGCTGGTTCTGGCTGAACAGATACTCCATCGAGCCTCGCCAAATCCATGTGGAGTTGCTCCTCACCCTCTGAGGGAACCGGTGTCTCTACTGCATCCCCAGAAAGCTCCTTCGTCCGGAGGTAGACCTTGGCGTTCGAGAGCTTGGGAGTCGTCGGGACTGCAGTCGAAGAGCAGACTCCGCTTGCCTGTAGCGACCAACTCATCAGCCAGCTCCGGATGCCTAGGAAACACTCCGTTCCAATCGAAACGAGGGAAGGGCATGGGGGCACACACCTTGCGAACTTGTCCCGCAAAACGGTGATGACAATCTTCAGTCTGCACTTCTTCCACACGTCGGGATCCAATCCCTCTCGCATCGCATTGATGGCAGAAGCGGCCGTCGGAAATTCTGCGAAGGAAGTCCTGAAAGAACGTACCCGACACGCTGAACGACGACCATGAACGTACGTCTCGTCCCGACCCGGACAGAAACCTCGGACTGATGACTCGTAGTGATTAGCCAGGAAGCCGAAGGCAGGACCGCTGAAAGTGTCTATCGGGGGGCCTCCAGATGTCGCTGTCGACTCCGCAGTAGACGCCATGCTAACCTACTCCACCTGACACAGCTCCGAGGTACTCCACGGTTGAGAACCCAAGAGCAACGGAGTGTTCAGAAACGTCACGAAGTGTTCGGAAACACCGACGTGGAGGCGCCTCGATCCGACATGGCTGCATGATCGTGAGACGGTATGAGGAGAATGTCTATCCAATAGGGAGGAACGGACACCTCCTCCACCACTTCGAAGGAGTCCAGAATAACTCCTCTCATGCTGGTGGCAACTTCTCTATGGAAGAAACTGGACTTCACACTGTTTGGCTTCTGACATGAGGACCATTGTATGAGCCGACCTGAGCAGGTATATACAGGGTGATAGCAGTTCCATTGCTTCCTACCGATCCACAGTAGCAAATCCATGCTGATCGACTCGGCGAGTGAGGCCATAGACAGCTGGACGACGACACGGAGCTGACCAGCTATCTCTATTGAGGATCGTTGCTGATCATCCTCAGTGCCAACAATGGAGAGCCTATCGATTCCCATTGTCAGCACGCTGGCTACTGCATCCTGCTCCTCTTGACTCAGCCCGCACGTGTGCCAAACGGAGGCCATGCCATATACCAGGTTGCTCAGACCTTGCACGCCTAGTCCCCGCAGGATCCTTTCGTTGACCTGTCGACACACCCTAGCCGCCTCCACTGCCATATCCAGCTTGGCTAAGCCATAGAGGAGCATGCACGTTGTCTGGGCGTCCTTCAACCTCACCGCGTCGAGCCTGTTGAGAATCTCTCTTTCTATCCATGCTTTCTCACTCATGTTCTGTCCAGCCAAACCATGGAACACCGCAACCGCAGAAGTGAGATCCAGGCCGATGGAATCTTTGAGAATACGAGTGAAGATATCCTGCCAGCCGATCCCCCCTAGTTTCGTAAAGGCGGCACTCAGCTGTACTATGGCACTTTGAGGGAGCTTCACATCGAGATCTGCGCAGAGCCGGTCAGAAGTCGCTTTGAATATCGCCTTGATGTCGACAGAGGGAGGCAGGAAACCACCAGCAGCTAGACTAGCCAGGGCTTGAACACCGTTGGCCAAGTGGATGATCGCACAGGACGATACCGCGGCAGCGAAGGCTTCAGCCACACTACTGTCATCTCGCAGCAGGCTCATTGCGAGTTCAGGTTGCCAGGTCGCTAAGTTGGCTAGGGAGACCATGATAGGCACCGTTGCCGCTATGTTCTCAAGCTGACCGCTACGATCTCGTGCTTGGTATACTTGCATGAAGACGTCCCTACTGCGCTCATCAAGTGGACACGCTTGACTGAAGGTCATCATTAATACAGCGGAGTCTCGAATCGTGAATTGGTTAAGGACTCGCAAAGCTGCGGTGCCCAAACTATGCAGGAGCTCGCCATCGCCTATGAATTTGAGTTTGACGAATCCCGTAAGGATGAGCGAAAGTGTCTGGGGTGAGATCTCTCGATTCTGTTTTACCATTCGAACCACCACTTTTCGCAGTTTAGTGAAGAGGAATTCGTTCTTGAACTGTACCTTTTGGCAGGCATGAGCAACCAGCCCGACATCCTGAGGCCGAACGCCGAGTATCGACTTCGGTGAGGAACCCAACCGTGCGGAAAAGTGCTGGGTGAGGGTATAGAACACCTGCCGGTCCCCCATTCCTGCTTTAGCATACCTGAACAGGACGACTAGACCATAATGCCATTTGAATCAACTCACGCATTGAGGAGTATGGCTATCTGTCGAACAGTTAGATTTTCTGCCATCTTCAAAGTCGTGGGCTTTAGCCCTTCCCAGGTAGGAGGGACTCTTCCCCAATCGACCTCATCGAGGAGATTCACTCGTCCGCTTCCACCCACCGGTGCTGAGCCGACCGTCCAGGAGCCTAGCGACCGGTATTGAACTCACCTGCACAGCCACTGGCCAGCTTCTGTACTGCAAGGACATGCATTTCCATGGGGTTCCGAAATGGTACTCGCTGCCGCCACTTGTCCTCCCTCGTCACCTCCACTGCGGCTTCGTCTCGCTGGACTAATTGGCCGTTCCCGGCTACCGTTGCACTAGGTGGGCCCCCAGGAGAGACTATGGTGGGCATAGAAGGATCATCTGATGACGATGATATGCGCCCCCAAATGGAATATGGGAAGCCCTACTAGGAACATCCACGATCGCACCACTATGGTCCTCCTGTGTGACTGGGCTGTTGCCGCCTACTCTGCTGACTACTGCCACCACGGGCTGCTCGATGGCCCGTCGCCTACTGAGGGCTATGCTCCTCCCTGGCATGGACCGGCCGATCAATAAGGCAATCTCTATACGAGAAGCATGTAGGGCAGGAGAACGCAAGATGTTCATGAAGGTCACGAGAAAGGGCATGGGAGTCATTAGTGATGATGTCAGTATATCAATTGTGGAGCCATTGGCCAGCAAAGATCCTCCTCCAGCGTGGTGACAGTTGGGGTGACGCCAACCAGCAGATCTACGAACTCTGGAGCACTGCAGAAGGCAAGGAGCAATCCCCCGTCAGTTTTCATAGAGTCTCATCACCTCAAAATGTATTCGTCTGCCAGTGTGTCAATGACCGCCATAGCCTCAGGAGAAGGAAGCAGCCCTGTGTTCTCCATAACGTAATTGTACAGCTCCACAGAAGAGGGGCTTCCACTTACACTTTCCGAAGCCTTCTGCACGAGGGTCTGATGGGCCTAGCAGATCCACTAGGCTCGTTCCTGCTAGTACTACCAGCATGTTCCGATAGATGATCCACAGAGCACTGGAGACCTTATCTTGCTCGTGTGCAGCGTCGACCAAGGCATCTACGAGGCAATGGCTCTCTGCTGCAGCTGGCATGACAGCTCACTCTTGTCCTCCCCTCTAAGAGGAGTGCCTTCGAGTGGCTGCATAGAGCAAAAGTGGAGGCCTTGCAAGAGCTGGGTTGTACGGAGTTCGGAGAACATCCTAATACGAGGCAGTACTCGCCTCAGCGGAGACCTCCCAGGTACTACAGTATGCCAACCTTGGGCCGGCTGTTCTCACTGGGTGACTCCACAGCGAAGGTCTCAGCCCATTCCGCCGTCCTTGCCAGAGCCGGGTTGGACCCTTCCAGAAGCATGAGGATCTTTCAGAAAATACACAGGAAACGTAAGTGGCCGTAACTACCCAGAACTGATGGGCCCCCGAGTCCACTTCGTATGAGCAAGGGAGGACGAGGCCCGACACCGCGCCGTACTCGTCCATATGACCTGACGAGTTAGGTCAGAGGGGAAGTTGCTGATGCCATGCAGATACTCAGAGGCTCGGGCTCCTGTCCATCCCTCAGTCGCTGCGCCTTGATGTTCTGACGACCTTGCAACCATTTCATGAGCCCTTCTTGGAACCTCTCTCTGAGCCAAGCGGGAAGAGGCTACTGCACATGCCAGGCTCATTACATGAGATGCTCAGGTTTGGAATCTGGATTCGAATAGCTGATAGCCATCAGAACTCGGCTATGGTGACTGGCTTCGGTGACAGTGGTCAAGTGGCGCACCGCATCAAAGAGGCTCCAACGACCCTCGTCCAGAGCGAGCTCGTCTTGGGTCTCTCCGGAGGCCTTTGACGTACCTCCACGGGCTGAGAACAGGGAATACTACCATCAACTCGAAGACCGTAACAGAAGGATACCCGAAGCAGGCTTAGCCGCTGCTGCGGTGGCAGCACTGCGCCGTGGCGAAATCGATGGCATGTGAAAATTGGCCAAATGCTTCTGCGCCCAGACTTCAACACAACCCCACCTAGAGAGCTTATAGGAGTATCCTGAGGTCATACCCTGTAGATGATAAATACCAAGAATGACAATTTCATAGGGATGGCCCTGATTGGGGGAGCGGGGAATCGGAGTGGGATGAGCCCAACTTGAAATGTGACATGAAATGAACCTAAGCAGCTATCTGACCGTAACGAGTGCCCTCCTCCGCCTCCTGAAGGCAACTCTGGGCTACGACCGGTATCGGTCCGGTAACGGGAGGAAGCGAAAACATCATGTGAGCTTCAGCATTCCTGAGAGAGACCTTTCAGCCTATTACTTTCCTTATCATACTACCCTCGCTGCTCCAGCAAAGCATCGCCACTGTATTTTCTGGCCGCTTCTAGATAGACAGGCCTGTCCTGTCCGGGTACCTCGGGGCTTCTGTGGATCTCAGAAGACCCGCCCCTCAACCACAACGAGGGATGCTCCGATCGGTGCTGATGCTGTTGATGCTGGTCTTTGTGTAACTACATCGGCGATAAACTCGCAATGCAAGGCATAGGGGTACTACAGAGGTCCGCACCAGCTGGTGTAGTCCTGAGAAGCTCAAAATGGTCATACTGGTGACAATACTTATAGATAGTGAGAACAGAACTGTGGGAGCCGAGTCATGAGAGTGAGCAGAAACTCAACACACCTCTCTAGAGAGGCGCCTCATTCTGGTCGTCTTCACTGATACAACAACTATACAGCGCTCCGAAATTTGAAACACTACGTACTATGCTAGGAGGCGTTTCGAACCGCCATTATGCTTAGTTCTGAAGAAATAAGACAAATATTCCAAATTTATTTCGAGCCATGTTCAACATCTTTCTAGTTAGGAAAAGACGGTGTACAGGACATACCACTTATCATTTTAAACTCAACACCCCTGTAGAGAACATAGGAAATATCACAGTTTGACTACGACCTCATTTTAATTATTCACGCTACCAACACTTGGCCACTTCGGCGTCCTCCACTACGTAGCCTGTTCCTTATCATCACCTCCTGCCGGGGATTATGGGCTCGCACGTTACAGGGTAGATCGGCAAACAGGACAGGGTTCACCTCGAGCAAATCTTCAGGGGCTTCGGGGCTCTCATGCTGCCCTGTACCTCCACCGACTTCATCTTAGTCGTGCTGAGCCAATGCGCAGACCCCAAGACCATCTCGAGACGAACAAGCACTCAGACAGCGCCCCTGAACTCCGTAGGACAACACGGTAATGGTAGGCGACACCCGAGGGTTCCACGAACCCCACCCGGTCGGTGGATACCCTCATCCACTAAGAGCTTAGCGATGCAGTGAAACACTCGGCCCATTTTAGAGTGGGTCAGAATCGTCTTATGCATTTCACGATGTTGAATTGAATTCCCTCGAGACCTACAGCTACTGCCTCGTCAGCCGTACTGTTCTCTCTCTTGGTGAACGATGGGATTCTCAGCTCGAGTGTAACGCACATCGAGGGTCATTGCAGGCCGGCCCTTCAGAGGTGCCTTCCGGCGTACACTCGCTTCGCCGCAGGCCCTTCCAATCAGCCTTATACCATCTGTGTGGGGTCGAGAGAGAGGCATAGTAGGCCGGGGGCATCACGAGTTGGCGAAGTGAAGCGGAGTGCCTCCCATTCGGCCTGCAACGAGGCATTCTCAAGACCTCTTAAATTGTAGATAGCGCATAATACTAGCAGATTTGGGTAGTAAAACTCCGCATCCCGGGATCGATCAAGGGAGTGATATCGAGTAGCATCAACGGCTACCCAAACTGATCGCCATGCGCCCCATCGGCATGAGCATGGGCAACGTAGTCGAGGGCAAGCTGTTCAGCCTCGTCACTGGCCTAGCCGCCGGTGCAGCCCTCTCGCTCGGTGATATACCCCCTAAGGACTTGAGCGTAGCTATAAGGGCTGTCGCTTCCAAATCAGCTTGGGTGGGGGCATCTGAGACCCTTTTAGGGGCAAAGGTGTCGTCCCTAAGCCAAGAACAGTCATGTCTCTGACTCGAACGCCTCGATTCTCAGTAGACTCCAACAGTAGTCGCACTGAAGGAAGCGGCCCTCCCCCCTTCACTTGCTGCAACTCTTCTCGTAAGGCTCAGACTTCGGCCGCTAGTGTTGCTCTGAGTTCCCATATAAGGCGATTAAACTCAGTACGATGTCGAGGGGGTATAGACGTGCATGGAGTTGTCAATCTGATTGCCCATTCACTACCTACCTGTATAAGACTTCATCCCTGGACCCATTTCTCGACTGCTCCCCGAATAAACCACTTCAGGTTGTATCAACACAACACAGATAGAATTAAATGCAACATGAACCGCAAGGCGAATCAAAATGAACATAAACGACACAAAGAGCTCAATGTCATATCGATGCTATTGGAACTACAACCAAGGAAGAGCTTCCCCTAATCGGTACTAATCAGTGCAGATCTTGGTAGATGAACTGGTCAACGGCGACTCGAGTCGTCTCCAGATTCGTGTAATGTTGTCATCACGATGATACCGATCAATTTACTATAGGATCAGTGCAGATCTTGGTAATACTGTTCAGCGGCTACTACTCTAGTAGAGCCTCCAGTGAGGTATGTGATCATCATCCCTACTGCATTGTATTTCAGTGATATTAAAGGTAATCTTCACTAGAACTCAGGTTAACGAGATTCCATACAGGGTTTGTTCATCATCAACTTGACATTCAATGCCTCAGGCTATGGGTGGTTGTGATTATATCTCCACATCTAAAGTCAGACGAACGAGACCTTCACAGTTAGTCATCATAGGCTAATACACAGTCAGTTGAAATGCCTCAGGCTATGGGTGGTTGTGATTATATCTCCACATCTAAAGTCAGACGAACGAGACCTTCACAGTTAGTCATCCTAGGCTAATACACAGAGAATTGAAATGCCTCAGGCTATGGGTGGTTGTGATTATATCTCCACATCTAAAGTCAGACGAACGAGACCTTCACAGTTAGTCATCCTAGGCTAATACACAGAGAATTGAAATGCCTCAGGCTATGGGTGGTTGTGATTATATCTCCACATCTAAAGTCAGACGAACGAGACCTTCACAGTTAGTCATCCTAGGCTAATACACAGAGAATTGAAATGCCTCAGGCTATGGGTGGTTGTCATTATATCTCCACATCTAAAGTCAGACGAACGAGACCTTCACAGTTAGTCATCATAGGCAACATTAGTAGTTATACGAGTTTGAAAGGCCGACTACCCCACGAGTAGGGGTAGTCGGTGAGTAAAGACTCCACGTCTATTGCGGACTACTTAGAGATGATATGACTATCCGACAAGTCAACCACCTGCGTAAGTACGCGTATACAAATACCCAAGCCCAGACTGGCTCAACACAACACGAAGAGGTATCGGCGTCCAGCAATAATCAGCAGTAAGGCTCCAACAGTGTAGAGTCGTACTTGAGGTGATAGCCAGTGTGAGGTAGGATTACTACCCAGGACCAATGCTTAGATACCAATCTTAGTGCGTCTCCAGTGACGACGCTTAGCGTTGTACCTGTGATAAAACGTGAGGGAGGGAGAGAGTGGGTGTTGGCTGGTATTACCTGATGGTATTGTTGGTCCTCATACGGAACCACTGAGGCAGAGGGCGATTCTGCTTGATCTTCTTGCCCAAAGTTCTCTTAGTCTTGAAGGACTTGATGGAACCCTAAACATAGATAACGATGAGAGCCGGTAGACATAACGGAACAGTCAGATGACACGTGAATACACAATGTGAAGAGTGAAAGGTAAGTCAATCATCAAGACCCTTATTACCATGCTGATTGGACGGCTGGATTGTCTATCGCCTCATGCCGAGATGCCAATCGATCACGTGATCGATTTAGAAAAGCGCACCTCAGCGCGAGATCCCATCTTACTTGGAGTGCCTGTTCCATTGATTATGTGATGGTCGATTTATCTATGGTGGAGTAGTGATATTACTATACGTCCATTGAGCAGTAATAGGACCATTTACTACACCGAACCTTCTCTGAATAATGTCTTTGTTGCATTTCACGACTCGTTGTTTTCGAACTTCGGCCGCAGAAGTCCTGCAGTCTTATAGCTGTACCAGGCTTACACATTGTTTCTAGATCTCACAAACAGTGCTCTC